ATCACGGGAGTGACCTCAGAATCCGAGAATTTGAAATACTGAGAGATGAGAACGCTGCGATGCTTGTGTCAAAGGACCAAGACATTGAGCTGCTTTCTGACAAGTGCGCGGCCAATTTGATGGCCAAGGACAAGGAAATATCCACTCTCAGAGCAAAATACAAGAATGATGAAATGATCAACATTGCCTGCTTCACTGCCCGGTGTTCCTCATCTGCTCTTTCTTCGAGCTCTCTCCACCGAAGCTCCCTGTCCTTCTCGGTTTCACGTGCGATGTTGATTTCTTCTCTAGCCTGGTCAAGGTGAATGCTGGCCCCGTATTCACCCAATTCCGATTGTTGATGGGCTTTCTTGAGGCTCATCATATCGCCGGCCAGGGCGGAAGTTCATGCCGCCGAGGGGCAGTACTCTGGGAATGAACACGTCCTGCAGGCTATCAAAAGCGAGGCCGAGGCCTATCGCAACAATCTTGATAACGAATACAGGATATCTAGGACGACTCTTGCCAAGCATGAAACGACGTTGGAGTCCAACGCTGTACACATGAAGGAAGAGTATCGGCAAATGGAGATATCCTGTGAACAGTATCAGAAACAGGAGTCCAAACTATCCTCAGTATTGAGAGCTAGGAACTCGGAGATCAACGAGGCCAATGCCAGACTGGTGTCTGCATGAGAAGGCGGAAACGAATGTGTTGAAGTCCGAAGTGTCGATGGCAGGTAACATGTCCAACAAATTCGAGGGAGCACTGAACGCTCAAATCGACTACCTCACCAAAGCTGGAAGGAAAGTCGAAGAACAAAGAGATGAGATGTCGGCAGAGCCATCCAAATGTAGGACAAACTCTCCAGGTTGGAAAACGACGTCAACGAGCAGGAGAGGAATGAACTACAAGACACATTGGATGCGCTCGACGGTGGCACCGAGAAGGACGATGAGAAGAAAGGTGATGATAATGGCGGACGATGCCCAAGATTCCACGCCCAAGGCAGCGGCATCAACGACTGCGATGAAGATAAGTCTCGAGTCCCCAGAAGAGGCTGAAACTGTCCAAGTGCCACCATGGCCGAACATCAACGGATTGGAGCCTTGGAAGGGTAGAATGATGAACAATATCGTGGCTGCCTGTGGTGAGCCAGATGACCACATATAGAATGAATGGATCAAGAGGGCCTACCACAAGGATCTACTACTACTACTATTGTTACTACTACAATACTAACTACTGCTACTACTTCTACTACTACTACTACTACTATTGTTAATTTCTACAATAGTACTTCTAGTACTACTACTTCGACGACTGCTGCTACCACTACTGCTGCTGCTGCTGCTGCTGCTGCTGCTGCTGCTGCTGCTTCCGCGAATCATACCCCCGAATCATTCCCCGAATCATACCCGCGAATCATACCTGCGAATCATACCCCGTACTCAAACCTTCCTGCCCGGCCCCCGTAAAAATACAAACCCATATATATATATACATATGTATATATGAGTAGAGCTGCAAAGCCGTTTAGCGGAAGTCTCAAAAATATGCAACCTGTAGTTTGGAGCACGTGTTGTGTTTTTTTTCTGGCTTTCTCGCTTTCTCTCTTTTTCTCTTTGTCTCTTTGCTGCGGCCTTCCGAACGTGCTGTCTGCCACGAGCGACAAATGCCGTGCCGCGCCTGTAACGCAAACTGACGTCACAACAATCCGTGCTGAGGGGGACGGGGACTGCTCCGCACCCGTTCCAAGACCTGGGCTGAAAAAAATACCCCGCGCCTTTTCGTTATGTAAGGCGCCGTCCCTTAACTTGTTTCGCAGGCCAAAACCCTTGTAAACCGATACAGAGGAAGAAAAACCGATACCCCCAGAAGCCATGAAGACACACATCAGGTCCAAGTTGTTGTCACAAGCCAAGATCGCGGAATCATAAATTTGCAGGGCCCAAACCGATACCCAAACCGATACCCAACCGATACCCAACACAGTGGCCGCCACGCCGAATCCAACCAGCTGCCCTGCAGCCTTCCCTGGAGCTGCCAAAATGTACTTTGTGTACCACATTTGTATTGAACAACTTACTTGTGCTGAAAAGCTGCGATTTTCGAGCCGGAGCTGCCAAAGCATACTGCGCATACTGCTGACTTTCCAGCTGGAGCTGCCAAAATGTACTTTGTGTACTACACTTGTACTGAAAAGTTGCGACTTTCCGGCTGGAGCTGGGATCTGGCAGAGTGTACTTCGCATACTACGCTTGTACGGAAAAGTCACGACTTTCGAGCCAGAGCTGCTAAAACACTGCAAACCGAGGCAGAGGAAAAAAACCGATACTGACCGATACTAGGGGCATAAGGATACAAGGGTTGTCCACGGGGTTGTTTTTTCAACCCACCTTGTTTTGACAGGCATCGCGACCGAGGTGGCTTTCAGCCAGAGACGCAGCGAATTGCGGCTCTTCTCGATTTCTTTTCCCGACGTAGCGGGCAAGCGTCCAACACTGAGAGTTTCCTTTAGTTAGTTTGCGTCACGCAGAAATTTCTGCGTTGTTCTATCCATGTTGTTTCCTGCGTATGGCGACACGCTGCGCCTTCAGGAGTGGATCGACGGGTGGCAGGAGCGCTGGAGCGAAGCCTTGGAAGAGGAGTCCGAGGGTGCAGAGGCGGGGTGAGGGCTGTGGGTGGGTTGTTTGGGTTGTTTGGTTGCTTGGTGTAACGGCTTTGTTTGGGCTTGTCCGGTCATCCTTTGGTGTGGGTTTGAACCCTTTTGGTAGAGGGGCAGGAAACGGGGCATGTGGTTGCTTGGTTTGATGGGTTTGTTTGGGTTTGTCCGGTTCTCCTTCATTGGTATTTTGGGGTTGGAACCCCCTTTTTGACAGGCATCGCGACCGAGGTGGCTTTCATCAGAGACGCAGCGAATTGCGGCTCTTCTCGATTTCTTTTCCCGACGTAGCGGGCAAGCGTCCAACACTGAGAGTTTCCTTTAGTTAGTTTGCGTCACGCAGAAATTTCTGCGTTGTTCTATCCATGTTGTTTGCCCTGCTTGTATGGCGACACGATCTGCGCCTTCGCAGGAGTGGATCCGGGTGGCAGGAGCGCTGGAGCGAAGCCTTGGAAGAGGAGTCCGAGGGTGCAGAGGCGGGGTGAGGGCTGTGGGTGGGTTGTTTGGGTTGTTTGGTTGCTTGGTGTAACGGCTTTGTTTGGGCTTGTCCGGTCATCCTTTGGTGTGGGTTTGAACCCTTTTGGTAGAGGGGCAGGAAACGGGGCATGTGGTTGCTTGGTTTGATGGGTTTGTTTGGGTTTGTCCGGTTCTCCTTCATTGGTATTTTGGGGTTGGAACCCCCTTTGGTGCCGGGGTAGGAAGCCCAGAAACATCAAAGCCATCAATTAGGGGCATGGTGATTCAGGGTACCCTAACGGGATTGAAGAGAGAGGTTCATCGCTTGCACCATAGGACAATCCACCCGTGTAGGATTCTAGGCCCTGTTTCTTAGAACCCGCTTTGGGTCACTTGAGCACATCGCTGGCAAAGCACCTTCCGCTGCAGGGTGGCAGGTGAGTTGTGCATGCCATCTTCAAGAGAACAACACATTCCTGACAGCAAACTTGCAGCATAGCAACACGATGCCGTTCCCATTTTAGATTGTACCCCACCCATTCCGAATTTAAGGAGTAGATATATATATATATACATACATGAATTTAGTTGTGTATTTATGTTTAAAAATAAACATACAAGTAAAATAAACAAGTGCGTTAATATGCTACTGAGAACCGAGCTGGTTGCCAAGACATGTCTACCGTTACACCATGCTGAGCTTAAACTCTCAATAGCCGCTGGACCTAGGAAGCACAGAGGGACCACCTGGATGGTGTCTGAAGGAATCCAGGAGACAAAAGGGACGGATACCCTCTTGCAGATTGAAAGGGAAGCCAAAGAGCCATGATGCTTAGAGGAAAAGGAACCCCCTTGTTCGGGTTCCATGGTAGAATGCAGGGGAGTAGTTTACTTTGCTAGACCCCACTTTGCCCCCTTGCCCTTTTTCTTGTGTTCTTTTGTTGTTCAAAGGGCGAATCCATCCAATGGAAGTTAGCCAAAAGGCATGCTTCAAGCCATTTGCACGAGGAGATGGAGAAGCTGTTGCCCTGCTCGGTGTGACAGGCGTGAGCAATCCTGATTGGTGCCAGGACAATCCCGAATACGGGAATGAACCGAATTCGCGGAAAGAAGAACATGCCCGATCGGGCAACCAACGAATGTGGAGCTGATAGTTTGGGTTCTACTCAGACCCCTGGCAACCATTCTTGCAGACCTGAGGGACAAGTACCATATGGCCTGGCACAAAGTGTTGCCATGGCGACGTGGCAAGGTAGTCCTTGGGGTTCAGGCAAAAGATCCTTGGAGCTGAATCCCAACGTGAGCTATTCAAGTCATGCTTGGTAGTCATCGCCTCTTTTTTCACAGGCCGCTGTCCCAGTCCAACTGGGCATTGGACACTCCCACTGAATAAATCCGGGGACGTGGGTCAGCGTCGCGCCTTTCGCCAGAACCTCCGGCAGATCTTTCCAATCACGGGGCCAAAGCTGCTCTATGAGGTCAATGCGGAAGAAAAGCGGTCAGGGCGTCCACATTGACATGCGAAGCGAGCTTCGGGCAACGCCGGTTGCAACATGGCCGTTGTAACATGGTGCCAGTGGCCTGTTTGACAGCTGTCGATTTTCCAGAAAGTTGGGCTTCGCATGTCTAAGGGGCTTGCTTTCTCCTAGCCAGCGCGGTGTTGCGCATGACGTCTAAGGGTCTTGTTTTCTCCTAAAAAGCCAGCGTGGTGTTATGCATGACGTCTAAGGGGCTTGTTTTCTCCTAAAAAGCCAGCGTGGTGTTATGCATGACGTCTAAGGGGCTTGTTTTCTCCTAAAAAGCCAGCGTGGTGTTATGCATGACGTCTCAGGGGGTTGTTTTCTCGTAAGGGTCCCGGCGCTGGAGTCTCCAGCGGTGTCAGGGGCGTGTCATGCGACAGGCAGTGGATTGGGAGGGCAAGCCCTTCCAGCGACGCATCGATGGCTTCGAGGCCGCTGTCCGCGCTGTCGCGCGCTGTCCGAGGTGTCCTTAGTAAGCCTTGCGCCGAAGTGTGGTTGCGGTTTCTCGGAGCTTGTGGGGGGTTGGGTGGGTGGGGTTGCGGTTTCAAGGAGCTTCTGGGTGGGTGGGTGGGTGGGTGGGTGGGTGGGTGGGTGGGTGGGTGGGTGGGTGGGTGGGTGGGTGGGTGGGTGGGTGGGTGGGTGGGTGGGTGGGTGGGTGGGTGGGTGGGTGGGTGGGTGGGTGGGTGGGTGGGTGGGTGGGTGGGTGGGTGGTGGGTGGGTGGGTGGGTGGGTGGGTGGGTGGGTGGGGTTGCGGTTTCAAGGAGCTTCTGGGGGGTTTGGGGGCGGATGACAAGAACTGCCATCTTGGCGGACACGTTTGGCTTGAGCTGAAGATGAGTGTCCAGGAAAAAGTTTGGCAAGAGCTCATCGGCAATTATTTAGCAACATGAAATCTATGAGGCAGACCGGGTAAATCTTGGCAGGCAGTGATAAATGGGGAGTTTCTTGCCACGGCCATGTGCGAGATCCACCAACCTGTTTCGTCGCAGAACAGTGACATTGAGCATCGGCTGGACTAGCCATGGCACTGAAAGATCGCATCTTCTTCGTGACTGGGGCGACGGCCGGCATTGGCGAGTTTACTGCAGAGGAGTTGGCAAAGGAGCGCATTGAGATCAGATGCACAGGTGGGAAAGAACCCTGGACCGGGTTGTCTATAACAGCCACCTAGCTTCCCGTTTGGGCAACAATCTGCTGGAGGGGGGGGGGGGCTTCAAACCATTTAGTGCCTGGGGAACTTGACGCTGCACGCATTTATTGCCAAATGCTTCTGAGAATTCCACACGTGCTGCTCTTGCTTCTTGCCGCAGGTGCTTAGAAGCCCGTTTGCCCTCGGTTCGCCTTTTGTGACTAAGCACAAGTTACACACGTTGTGGCAAACCAGCGCTCCAGCAGATATCAAGCAGCAATCGGGTATGGGTCAAAATAAACCTACCAGGGGACCGCAGGTTTTAGTCTTTGCTTCCATTTATCAGGGTTCCACTTTGGGTACGCATTTTTGACCCACAGCCAAGTGACAAAGCCACCATTCGAGCAGCTTCTTGCTGTTTGTTGAGAAGTGGTGTTTCAGTGTTGGAGAAGGGCCATGATCGAATGAGGGCTGGGAGGAGGCTCAAGGCCGTGAACCTGCTTGTGTTCGCATAATGTCCGAGAAGAAATGTATGTGCCTTGTCTGAAGATTGTTTTCTTCCTGTGTTAGATTAAGAGTGCCTGGGTTGGATGTTTCAGCAGTCATGTTTCTCATTTACATTTGCATGTGGGAGACTGTATGACACGCGTGAGGGTCCTCCCTGAAATGATGCAGCAGACAAGGGCTTTTATCTGACACACGTGGGCCGGACGACGGCTATGTCGCATCTCACTTTGAAGTTGAAAAGGATGTGCCCAGAATACCCCATAATCTGTGGATGGACGAAATGCCACGCCACCTCAGAAACGCTGAATCACGACTTCCCCCTGCAATTTGCCCACCAAACGTTTTTTCCCCTGGAATCAAAGTGGTGCGACATGGATTTTTCGTCCATTCGCCGGGACGCATGGGGTAGCCTGGCCTAAGCCGCCTAAGTTGAGCCCGCAGGAGGGCTGCGCCCTGCTGCTCCATGGGCGCAACCCCGGCAAGGTGGAGGCCCTGGTGAAGCGCCTGCAGAGATATACGCCCGCAGTGCACGGCTTTGTTTCCCGGAGCATGGGCTGGCAGGAAGTTGGTTTTGACATCATAGCTGGCCAAAACAGAGTCGTAGGCTTCTTTCATAACGCACATCCTGTGTTTGAATTTCTAGTGTTTCAAAACTGAAGTCCAAGTCGTTGTTTTTTTTAGGGTAACAAGTTGAAATCGGGTTTGGAGATGGGGCCCTTGCTCACTGCAGGTTGCAGACCTGAGCCTGATGTCAGATGTCCGCAGACTTGGCGAGGAGGTGTCCAAGCAGTTTCCAGCAACTCGGGCAGGAGCTGGGGGGGTTTGCAAAAGACGGGGATCCCTTTGACGGCTCAAAGGCACCAGGGTTCTGACATCCTGTGTGTGTTCAGTGCTCGCTTGCAGCGAAACCGAGGTCATTCACGGCCTGTTGAACAACGCGGGAACCTTCGCTGGTGACTATACAGGAAAGCGACAGGTCACTGCAGAGGGCAACGAGTACTCGCCACGCGGCAAAGATAACGTGTTGTGGTTTTGTTTTCGCGTTTCTCTCAAGAAAAGGTGGTGCGTTTGCTTTTTTGTTGCCGCTGTGAATTCAGACCATGGTGCAGCCTGGGCATTTTTATTTGGGTCTGGAAAGGTTGGCTGTCAACGTCATGGCTCCATTTCTGCTCACCTCCTTCCTACTGGAGAATGTTCGCGCATCTGGGGCAGGCGGGACTGGTCGCTGTTTGCCTCGTGCACTGTTCGACACAGCGGTCAAATGGGTGTGGGTCAAAAATCGGTGCCCAAAACGGAACCCTGGTAAATGGAAACACGGAGAAAAACCTGCGGTCCCCTAGTGGCTTAATTTTCACCCACAGCCAAATGGAGGACTCGTTGAAGCATGTTCTGCTCTCTTTGCAAACGAGGCCGCGTTCTCATCACATCGTCGATCTCTGCTGGCTCCAACGATGCGCTTCAGGATTTACAATGTGAGAAGCGATGGTCGGATCACCGCGCGTACGAGCTGAGTAAGCTTTGTGCCGCTTGACTGAATCACGTTGCTTTTTGAACGTCGCACGCATAGATGGTTTTTCTTGAAAGTGAAGTGACGGGGATGGGCAGCCGTTTTTCTACAGGAGCTTTGAGTGAAGAGAATGCGCAAGCGCGCATTGCAACTGGGAAGGTCGCACCCCACAAAAACTGACGCTTGCCGTCGCCGGCTTAGGATGCAATGGTGGCAATGGAGCTGAATGCCCGGTATGGTGACCCGCCAAGGCCGCTGAACCAGTGAGCGATAGGAGCTTTGTTGGGGGGGGTTTGCCTTGCAGTATCATTATGATGGGACTTGGAACCCAAGACAATAAGTGCAACGACGGTCACAGTAACACTTTAACGGTGCAATGGGTTGATGTTGACTTGCACTGCGACATTTGCTAGACGCTGACACCTCTAGGCTTTTGCATCTTAGCTTATGTTGCTTGCATCTTGAGTTCAAAATCCTTTGTTCAACTATCAGACAGGTCATGTACAGGCCCAGTGCTTCCACTGGCTCGCGCAGGCTGTGTTTTCATACCATGGACCCTGGCACGGTGGACACCAAGATGCTCCGTGCTGGATGGGGCAGCGGAGGCTCTCCGGTGTCAACAGCCACCACCTCCTTTGAGATGCTGACGCAGGATGGGCTGCATTCAAGCGCTGTTTTCTTGTACCCTTACCGGTTCCCCTAAAGAGCAGATCATAATTATGTTACAATGATTTTCTGGTTGGGTTGAGAGAGCTGGCTACTGTGCTTTGGAACCCTTGCAGCTGGGAAGACGAGTGCGTGAGGATGTGATGAGTGCTGGGTGTAAGGGCTGAGGGAACGAGATGCAGAGGTATCCCGCTGCGCACTTTGTGGCTGCTTATTTTGGCCTGGTCAGCCCAAAAATCTCGAGCGGAGTGATGGGAGAAACATGATGGGAGCTGCTCTAATCAGCTGAATCGTTTCGCAGCAAGTTTGAGTGGGTACGCGCAACAGGAAAGTCAAGGCTACAGAATCGTCCAGTGCCTGTGCGCACTCGAGCGCAGTTGGTTCCCGAAGCAAAAGTCGAAAGCGGTGCAAGTTTGGCGGCACGATGCTAGCGTAGGCCCAACCCGAGAGTTACCCAAAGCCAACTTTCAAGCCACATCAAACCGCGACTCATCCACCATATCACCTCCCCGCGGCAAGTCGCGTTCCATAGAAGGACTGTCCCCATTGCAACGCACCACGCCACACCACACAACAAAACCCAGCAAAAGCACAGCACAACACAATGCAACTCAACACGCGGCACACATTGGAGCCCTGATGCTGGCCCCAAAAGAAAAGCAGCGTTCCTTTGGCGTCCTTTTGAAGCAATATTTCAGCAAGTTGGTTTGCACAGTTTTTTTAACAGCCAGACCTCCCCCCCCCCCTCCCAGTTTTGTCTGGACGTGATTTGGCTGTGGCTCAAAACACCGGTACCAAGTTGAAACCCTGGTAAGTGGAAACATGGACCAAAACCCGCGGCTTTCGGTGCGCCAGGATCGCTTCCAGACGAGCTCAGGCTCCGGCGAGCGCTACTGCCGCGGCGAGGGCGCGGCTTCGCGGGCCAAGCTGTGGGACCAGCTAGTGCCGCTCGCCAAGTTCCATCCCCCCATTCGATTTGTCGGCGGAATGCTGGAAACTGCGATTGGCTTAGATCTTTAGAGTTGATTTTTTTGGTTGAAATCAAGTCGGGTTTTCCACTAAACCCATGAAAAGTTAAGCTTTTTGCAGAGGGGTCAACAGCAACCAAGAATGTCTTTCTTTAAAACAACTTTGTCCACATGTGGGTTGATTATGGGGCCATTGGTTGGAGAAAAGCTAAAAATAAATTTTAATTGTAGGAAGTCAAAGGTCCCGAAGGATTGTGGGTTCATATATGGCCCTATGCAACCAGCCTTTGAATTGGGGGGGGGGGTGTTCAATGGTCGTTTTCTTTTGGCTTCCCTTTACACCAAAAACGGATACCCTCAGGGCAAGACAGACCCATTTGAAGGTTGTCATCCCCTTTACTCGGCGAAAAATGATCATGGATCCATCCACATTCGCTTTGTTGTAAACCGGGCTCAGAATCAAGCTTCTAATTATAATTATTGTGTCAGATAGTGAGTCTTGTTTGCAGTGGTGTCCCACGCGTTGTGGATGAGGATTAAACGAGTCTCCCAGTTGGACCACCGCAGTTGAATCCTCGAAAACCAGCTAAGATCGTTTCTGTGCCGATCTGCCGACCTTGTCCTGGTTAAAGGTGTTGCGACAACAAGGCACTCATGTGGGGGTGTTACTCGAATTTCCCCACAGCAACCTGGTCCAAACGACGTCAACACCAATCTCAAAGTCGAGTCCAAGCGATTTCTTGCGTGCAGATGGCTCCTGCTTTGGCCCCATGAGCTGTTGGGAATGAGAGCGGCCGGGAATGTTTATGGCAAGCCTGTATCTTTTCCAATGCGTTGGACTCAAGCATGTCAAGAACCTGCTGGATGAATTCGATGAACGCTGTGTTCTTTGCAAAGATTTTAATTGCGAGTAAACAGCAAGACCACCCGCTCTGCAGAGATCAACAGGCTTTTGCCTAGAATCCCCTATTGAAGGCACAGCGGATGGAAAAGGAAGAAGCAGCTAGGCAGTCTGCATGCAGTCTCAAGGCGCTTGTGGCAAGACATTCTTTGGATGCAAAAGCATCGGGCACACGAACCGGAAGTTGGTTGCTGACGTACGGAAATTCAATCCGGAGGTCTGCTCAAGTCGATGGTGATTTCCCGTGCCCCAAGGTTTGCCTTGTCGCCCTTTTGTATCCTGGACTCCCACCTGATCTTTGGGGGTCAAACAGGTAAACAGGCATGTGTTCTTTGCCCTCGCTTGAGGCAGATGACCGGTGCGAAATATCCATGAGAAGTCCGCGCCGTGAATGAGGGCGCGTTGCAAAACGAGCGCGCTTCTTTGAGCATGTTTCTTCAAGACACTTGCGTGGCGTGTTTCTTCAAGACACTTGCGTGGCGGCATTCCGCATCCCCACCCCCTTAAATATGGAATTGGGGGAGGGGGGTGACCCCTAGAATTCCATTTGTGGTTCCATTTTCCCGTCCCACCCCCCCTTCCCCTTAAGGTAGGGGGGATCATTCCGCACTGACCGTCCCGATGCCTCAAGCCTTGAAAAGCCAGCACTGGGGAAGAGAGAGTCGTCACCCCGCTTTGAACGGCAGGCCAGGCTCTTCCAGCACGAGTACGATCACTTAGATGGCATTGCCAGGGCCACAGAACTTCCCCAGAATTCGCTCCCCTTTTTCCTTTTTTTACGTTTTTTTTGGGTCCCCTTTGTTTTCCACGAACCAGGCAAATATATATATATATATATGCTGCTAATTCCAGCCTAGAGAAGGTGAGGGCCCGACCGTTTGCACATGTCCAGATATCACGATGTGATCACTTGCTGCTAGGGGTTGATTCCCCGTTCTTTTCAAAAACCGATCGCGATTTCCCCAGGGTTTTTGGTGGTTTTCTAGAAATAAATTCGCATCCCTGGAAAGAATGGGCAAGTGGAAACATGGACCAAAACCTCTGGTCCATATCCTGGTTTAATTTTGACCCATACCCAACGATGTGATCACTTGCTAGCTTTAACCCCCTCTAACAAAGTTACACTCCCTCAGACTAACATGGAAGTTGCCAGAAGGCCGATCCTGTAAATGGGACCAAGTCTTCCAAAGTGCTGGGAGCTTCCATGTTAGTCTGCTCGAGGGTATGTGCATCAGCTTTACTGCAGGCCGCACAGAGCTTGGAGCTCGCTTTGGCAAGCACTGTCAAAGGGTTGGGAAAGCGCGGGATGCTGCGTATGTTTTTTTGGCCTGCATCTAGTTTTTGGCCTTAGGTCTCAAAAACTTTGGCTTGCGTAGCCAGAGAATGCAGCACAGCATCACGTGGGAGTGCATCGATCCCAAGAAATCTGTCCACTCTCCACATCGATTGACGTGGCGAAGGGCAGTAAGAAGCTATTAGGTCATGATTTGCATGCTTCTGAATATGGGTCCAAATTAAGCCACCAGGAGATCACAGGTTGTAGTCCATGTTTCCATTTACCAGGGCTTGCCCCATTTTGGGGTCACCCTATTTTTGACCCACCTTAGTTGCCCAAAGCCGGCCTTTTGACCTTTTGGTTTTCCCGTTTTGGCCACCACTTTCAGTCATGGCCCCCAAAAAAATGGAATCAGCTTCTGCTTCCAGGTCCCTAAGGGGCAACTGAGCCGCCGCCAGTTTCAGAACCCAAGGCCCATAGCCCCGAAGGGCTCCCCGCCCGATGGCTCCCCGACGGCCGAGCCCGAGCCTCCGGAGTTTCGGAGGTCTTCGTGGATCGCTTGGGGGAGGCCAGCCGCAGCAAGGCGCAGAACTGACAGCAGCATGGGACCGGCCGGAGGCCCTTTTCTGGGATCCCGCGCGTGGATTCCCGGGTGAATATAGTTTGTATTTATATAATATATATATGTAATGTATGTAGTGTATGTAATGTATGTATGTATGTATGTATGTATGTAATGTAATGTAATGTAATGTAATGTAATGTAATGTAATGTAACGTAACGTAACGTAACGTAACGTAACGTAACGTAACGTAACGTAACGTAACGTAACGTAACGTAATGTAATGTAATGTAATGTAATGTAATGTATGTATGTAATGTATGTATGTATGTATGTATGTATGTATGTATGTATGTATGTATGTATGTATGTATGTATGTATGTATGTATGTATGTATGTATGTATGTATGTATGTATGTATGTATGTATGTATGTATGTATGTATGTATGTATGTATGTATGTATGTATGTATGTATGTATGTATGTATGTATGTATGTATGTATGTATGTATGTATGTATGTATGTATGTATGTATGTATGTATGTATGTATGTATGTATGTATGTATGTATGTATGTATGTATGTATGTATGTATGTATGTATGTATGTATGTATGTATGTATGTATGTATGTATGTATGTATGTATGTATGTATGTATGTATGTATGTATGTATGTATGTATGTATGTATGTATGTATGTATGTATGTATGTATGTATGTATGTATGTATGTATGTATGTATGTATGTATGTATGTATGTATGTATGTATGTATGTATGTATGTATGTATGTATGTATGTATGTATGTATGTATGTATGTATGTATGTATGTATGTATGTATGTATGTATGTATGTATGTATGTATGTATGTATGTATGTATGTATGTATGTATGTATGTATGTATGTATGTAATGTAATGTAATGTAATGTAATGTATGTATGTATGTATGTATGTATGTATGTATGTATGTATGTATGTATGTATGTATGTATGTATGTATGTATGTATGTATGTATGTATGTATGTATGTATGTATGTATGTATGTATGTATGTATGTATGTATGTATGTATGTATGTATGTATGTATGTATGTATGTATGTATGTATGTATGTATGTATGTATGTATGTATGTATGTATGTATGTATGTATGTATGTATGTATGTATGTATGTATGTATGTATGTATGTATGTATGTATGTATGTAATGTATGTATGTATGTATGTATGTATGTATGTATGTATGTATGTATGTATGTATGTATGTATGTATGTATGTATGTAATGTATGTATGTATGTATGTATGTATGTATGTATGTATGTAATGTATGTATGTATGTAATGTAATGTATGTATGTATGTATGTATGTATGTATGTATGTGTATGTATGTATGTATGTATGTATGTATGTATGTATGTAATGTAATGTAATGTAATGTATGTATGTAATGTAATGTATGTATGTATGTATGTATGTATGTATGTATGTATGTATGTATGTATGTATGTATGTATGTATGTATGTATGTATGTATGTATGTATGTATGTATGTATGTATGTATGTATGTATGTATGTATGTATGTAATGTATGTATGTATGTATGTATGTATGTATGTATGTATGTATGTATGTAATGTAATGTATGTATGTATGTATGTATGTATGTAATGTATGTATGTATGTATGTATGTATGTATGTATGTATGTATGTATGTAATGTATGTATGTATGTATGTATGTATGTATGTATGTATGTATGTATGTATGTATTTATGCGCATTTATATTTGGATTTATATTTCTATATATATATATATATATGTATGTGTGCGTGTTGTGCGTTTTGAGAGCGCTTAAACATCATGTCCAAAATCCTAAAACTTGTGGGTTTGGCTTGCCTCGGTGGTTGAACCGTGCTAGAGCCTTTTTGGAGCCTTTTCTTGTGGCAACCGAGGCTTAGAGTTGAGGCTCAGGTTGTTGCCGGCAAAATGCACTGCACGCAGGTAGAGCCGGACTTGGAATTCTTCATTAAGGCTGGGCTCACTGTTTAAAACTGCCTCACATTGTTGTGCGTCCGATTGAACCTCGATACACATGTTGCAGTTGCAATCCAAAGGGGCACCAAGAGCCTGACTGCTTTTCGAAATGCTAACAAACCTCAACTGGCAAAATGTTTTGTGCAGGATCAGCGAGAGAAGGTGAAACCCTATGATGTTTAGGGAGGCCTTCTTTGCAACTGTGTCAACGGCTTACTATTTCTGCATTTGGCACTTGCTGCGTCTTTTTTCAGCTAGGTGCACTTGAAGGTTCTGTGCTGAACTCTCAATTTTCTGTGTGGGTGTGGCTCAAAATGAAACAGGAAGGGCAAACCGCAGGTTTTGGTCCATGTTTCCACTTACCAGGGCAACCCATTTTGGGCACCTATGTTTGACCCACACCCATGTCTCCGAACAGAAGCCGGCGCTTTTTGGTTGGGTTCTCTCCGGGCAAACTCGAGCGGGACAGGACTTCCAGGGTGCGTTCCCCGCAATTGAGCCGGCGGTGTGAGCGAGCCATGAATTTTAGGTATGGCGAAAAAGGGGCCATGGATTCTCCATAGCCAAGAGCCCGCAGAGGCGCGAACAAAGGCAGGCTGAAGCTTGTTGGATGTGACCACTATTAGCGCCGTTCAGCACCTGTGGGACTGTGGGCTGACAAAGCTAGAGCAAGCATTTATTCTGTGATGTGCTGTGCGCGGTTGGGCAAACCCGGTTGGGACTAGGACGTTTCAAGTGCATAGACTTGCCCACACAGCGAGCAACCCAGTGCTCACAACTCTTCTGGAGGAGAGCCAACTAGGCCCAGCAACTCTCCACTCAACATCCAAGTTGACTTTGACGGACTGTTTAGGTGGGTAAGTAGAAACAGTCAATGGATCTGACAGAAATAAATGTCAGGACCCAGTGAAGTCCTTGGATTGGCTTCGGTGAGCTTGCCCGTACTGTGCTAAACCCTAAGCCAAGAAGTGTTGACAACAGAAGTCAGCGACTCTCAACGTTCCGTGGCAGCCTCTCTTCATTTTTGTGAATGGAATGGACGACCATCGATCATCACGTGCTTGTCTGGGAGCCTGCAGCTTTCCTCGAACCGTCGTGGCCGCGGCCGCAGATGCATGTGCCTTGGCAGGCTGCAGCTGAGTTTGTCTAGGAGGCATGCATTCTCCGTTGTATGTATTACGCTGTTTCGTGGATGGACATGGTTGCGCTCATGTGTGTTTATGCCTATTGCACTTATACAAGTTATATGTATGCGCATGTCGGAATTATAGATGTGTCTACTTATAATATGCTAGTATGTGTTCATGTAGTTCTGCATGTGCAATGCAGTGCAAGGCGGTGTGAATGAATGTATGTATGTAGGTAGGTAGGTAGGTATGTACTGTATGCATGTATGCAATGTATGCAATGTATGTAACGTATGTATACATGTATTCATGATTGTATGTATGTGCGTAATGTAGTAATGTGGTGTAATGTAATGTAATTTAATGTAATGCAATGTAATGTAATGTAATGTACGTATGTGTGTATGTAATGTAATGTCATGTAATGTAATGTAATGTAATGTACTGTACTGTACTGTAATGTAATGTACTGTACTGTAATGTAATGTAATGTAATGTAATGTAATGTAATGTAATGTATGTATGTATGTATGTAATGTATGTATGTATGTATGTATGTAATGTATGTAATGTATGTATGTATGTATGTATGTATGTATGTATGTATGTATGTATGTATGTATGTATGTATGTATGTATGCATGTATGTATGTATGTATGTATGTATGTATGTATGTATGTATGTATGTATGTATGTATGTATGTATGTATGTGTGTATGTATGTATGTATGTATGTATGTATGTATGTATGTATGTATGTATGTATGTATGTATGTATGTATGTATGTATGTATGTATGTATGTATGTATGTATGTATGTATGTATGTATGTATGTATGTATGTATGTATGTATGTATGTATGTATGTATGTATGTATGTATGTATGTATGTATGTATGTATGTATGTATGTATGTATGTATGTATGTATGTATGTATGTATGTATGTATGTATGTATGTATGTATGTATGTATGTATGTATGTATGTATGTATGTATGTATGTATGTATGTATGTATGTATGTATGTATGTATGTATGTATGTATGTATGTAATGTATGTATGTATGTATGTATGTATGTATGTATGTATGTATGTATGTATGTATGTATGTATGTATGTATGTATGTATGTATGTATGTAATGTATGTATGTATGTATGTATGTATGTATATGTATGTATGTATGTATGTATGTATGTATGTATGTATGTATGTATGTATGTATGTATGTATGTATGTATGTATGTATGTATGTAATGTATGTAATGTATGTATGTATGTATGTATGTATGTATGTAATGTAATGTAATGTAATGTAATGTAATGTAATGTAATGTAATGTAATGTAATGTATGTATGTATGTATGTATGTATGTATGTATGTATGTATGTATGTATATGTATGTAATGTATGTATGTATGTATGTATGTATGTATGTATGTATGTGAGAGTCGTCCGAAAGGTCGTTGTATTCAGCTATGAAGGGGAAGACCTTTTGGTCTTAGCGTTGACCTTCGCGAAAGTTCCGCGAAGGGGGTCGCGAAAGTTATGTTTTTTTCCGCGAAAGTTTTGTGTGGCTTGCAAACAGGAAGCTGCAGTGATGAACCATGTGTATTAACCGGCAGTGTGCGCAGAATGCCCGCAGACTCCGCGAAAGTTGGTCGGAGAATGCGTAGTCTGAGGGTCGCCGCAAGAATACGCCGCTGCAACAGCAACTCCCAGCCAGCAGAAACGAGCTCTGGGAGGTTGGAAGCTGTCGGGGCAAGCTGAGCGCAACTTCCAGCCGGATTTTCGCGAATGTTTGGCGTAAGATCCGCGAAAGTTTCGCGAAAGTCGACGGACCTCCCCGCCAGTTTCCGGACATGAGGCCAACGGGTCTTCTCACGCGCAGCTTGCGGCTTGTGAGCTGGAGCTGCGGAAGCGTGCTTCGCGTGCTACTTTGGATCTGCACGGGCGCGACTTTCGAGCTGAGGCTGCGGAAGTTCACTTTGTGTACTGCTTTCTTTCGAGGCTGAGAAAGTTTAGTCGTGTACTACTTTCGCATTCAAGCCGGGCTGCGGAAGTTTACTTTTAGTACTACTTTCGCACTGAAGAGCTGCGACTTTCGAGCTGGGGCTGCGAAAGTGTACTTCGTGTACTACTTTTGTGATGAATGTTCTGAAAACAGCCCCGCGAAAGTTCCGCGATGGGGTCCGCGAAAGTTATTTTTTTCTCGCGAAGATGGCAGTTTCCGGAACAAGGAATTTCAGACAACCGTCATGTATGTATGTATGTATGTATGTATGTATGTATGTATGTATGTATGTATGTATGTATGTATGTAATGTATGTAATGTATGTAATGTATGTAATGTATGTATGTATGTATGTATGTATGTATGTATGTATGTACGCAACGTAATGTAATGTGGTGCAATGCATTGTAATGTAATGTAATGTAATGTATTGAATGTATGTATGAATGTATGTATGTATTGTACTGCAATGCAATGCAATGGAATGTAATGTATGTAATGTATGTAATGCAATTTAATGTAATGTATGTATGTAATGTATTGTAATGTATTGTAATGTATTGTATGTATGTATGTACGTACGTACGTACGTATCTATGTATGTATGTATGTATGTAATGTATGTAATGTATGTAATGTAATGTAATGTAATGTAATGTAATGTAATGTAATGTAATGTAATGTATGTATGTATGTAATGTATGTATGTATGTAATGTATGTCTGTCTGTCTGTCTGTCTGTCTGTCTGTCTGTCTGTCTGTATGTAATGCAAGCTAACGTAGCGCGGCGTATTGTAACGCAATGTATGTAATTCATGCAATGCATACATTGTGTGTAGCATATGTACTGCATGTAATGGGTATGTACGTAAACGCGTGTAAAGTATAATGTTACTGAGGCATTTCACGTATGTAATGTTTCTAACAGGTGCAGCTTGTGTCATCTTGGTACTGTGCATAATGTACTGTAGTGCAATGCAGTGCAGTGCAATGCAAGGTGACGGTAGTTATGCAATGTGATGTGAGGTGATGTAAGGTACTTTTACACAGATATAAGCGTGTGTATGTGTATAGGGGTGTGTGTGTGTGTGTGTTTGCGCGGTGCATGTCTCGCACTCGAAACTGCATATCTTATTGTAGGTTGCAGTGTTGCCAGCGTTGGGTGGCAGTCCCTTGCAAAAGCCAAGTGACGCAGGCGAGGATTGGCCCCTTTGTTCAAGCCGCGCACGCTTCAAGGCCAGCCCTTGCCCAACATTCGGCCACCTAACTGCAGGCTGGGCAGATCGCGGGGCCTGCGGGACCAGCGGGCAGATCGTGTGGCGCCGGATGCCAGGGACTACACAGCTTCTTGGTGCCACAGTCCTTCGGGTGCCGGGGTCTTCAGTTTCTTGGTCGTTTGCCGGTAGAGCGAGGCTCGCTTTGTTTGGGCAGTGGGAATTCACTCAAAAGGATGCCCGGTAACCTCCGTCGAACTTAGGTGGTTGATGCTGAGGCAGGGATGGCTTGAAGGCATGGTGTTGTTGTTGTAGCTTGGTGTAGGGTGCTTGGCTGTGGTGGAGTGCAGGTTCTTCTTGGGAAGCTCATTCTGTCCGGTTTTGCTTCGGCTCAGAAGTGAGCTGGAAAGTTTGCGGCACTCGGGTTTGGGTTTGAGGCTCCCCTCCGGTGTGTGACGATATGCGTAACTTTGAAATTTGAAGACCCGTGATACACATGTTAATCTATTCGCAAGGTACTGTGGATGGACGAAATCCAGCACCACCGAAGAAACTCTGGTTTCTGGTGTTTCCCCTGAAAATACAAACAAACCTTAGGGTTTCCCATGGTTTCAAAGTGGTGCAGGATTTCGTCCATCCACAGTATGCGTGATCGTCAACAGGCCTTGGGGTTCAACTCATGTCGCTCTTGGCTCGGGTGGCTCGACAAGGTGGCTCTTGGTCGCTTGAAGCGCCATTGGAAGCATGCCTTCCATTTGCTTCGCCTCGGGCTGCAGGACGGTGGGAAATACTCCTATCCGGGCGTAAAAGTACGTTTCCTCGCGGGCACCCAACGGTGGCCTTGATGTTGGCCTTGGCAGATGTGGTTGGCTTTCCCTTACCTTGGAGAGGTCCCTGCGCCTCAGCTTGAGCGGGCCAAAGCATGCCTTCGCATGGACCCGCAGGACGCCCTGCAAGCTGATGCGCCGTTCTTTCATGCCGCGATCAGCTGCTGCAAAAGCTCAGGATCCTGGTCCTGCAAGAGGGGGGCTTTCTGTGATGCTTTCAGGTGTGCGTGCGTGATTTGTTTGAGTAGCTTGTGCTACAATGGTTGTTGGCTTAAAGGCCAGGGCCATTATTCATATTAAGATGACGTGGCCTGGTGGCCATTCCACGGTTCAACCTTCAGCAAGGGCGCCGAACAGTTGGAATCCACCGCTGGGCCTTGCTGATTTGAGCAGTTTTCACAGTAATATCCCCTTGCAACCACTGGGTTGAGTCAAGGAATTCGACAATTTGCCTGCATCACAATTGTTGAAACCAGCCATGCAGATTCATGGCCGATGAAAGGGCTTGAGGCGACAGAACTAGCATCAACAGGATATTGTTGGCCCCATATGTTTCACAATTCCAGTTTATAAATACGGGGGTGCTCCCCTCCAAAGGTGATGATTGTCCACTAAACCCAGTTGGGCAACCGCCTATTCCGGGGTCAACATCAGCACGTCAAGGCTGGATCTCGGCACTGCACGTGCTGCGGCACATGCCGGCACGGCTTTTGCAGCCCCGAGCCGCCGGGATTGGAGCGGCCATGGCAGCAAGCCCAGGCGTGCGCGCGTGCGCGGTTTGTGGCCGCCACGCACTTATAAGATGCAGAGCAGATCAGCGGTCCCGCAAAGCATCGTGAGACTGAGTTGCTGATGAACCTTCGAAATGATTTCTTTTAAGGTTAAACCTGTTTAAAGGTTAGATGTTGACAAACAAGGCAGCCGGCTGTCTCTCCGCCGCGAAACTCCTGCAATTCTGAAAGTCACGTGTCTTGCAATTCCAAGGGGATTGCGTTGTTTCTTCTTTTTTCATGATGCCTGGGGTGGGTGTGTTGGAAAAGTGTTTTGTGTTGCGCCTTGGCTTGGAAGCTAACTGTCTCCCTGTCAGTGATGTTAAAACCTGCACGCGCGCGTTTTTCAGCCTTGGCCGCTTTCTGCATTCGTCGACAATGTCTTAGTCTTTGGTGACTTTTTCCCCGGACGTACTTACAGCATCATTGCCGAGATAGCGATAGGGCTCCAGACTTGCAGCTCCGCAGCTTGACCGCGTACTGACAAAGGAGTGGCCAGAGCTGCGCGAGGAGGCCTCAAGGTCAGAAAAAGTGTGTACTGAGCGGCCAAAAGGAAAACAAACCTGCAGGAGCGAGATGCAAGTTGATGGGCCAGCGCACGAAGCCACAGCAAGTTAAGAGGGATGCGGACTCTGCTAGGGCAGAGAAGAGAAGAGCGATCTTCAATCAAAGCAAGGCCTTGAACAAACTGAACCAAAGGGTCAGGGGAGAGATACGAAACAGGGAAAAAGCCCGCCAGACGCGGATCAACGTTAGGAAGCGAACGCAGCCACCGATCCGGAGAAGCAGAAGGAAGGACAAAGAAAGCAGAAGGAGCGCGCAAACAACATGGGCCGAAAGCTGCGAGAATTCGAGGCAGCGTCAAGTCAAGCAAACGTTATTAGCACCTCCTCCCCCACCTCACCCCCCCCCCCGAAATCACTCGAAAGACGCGAAGTGATGACAGTTCCACGGCGGCGAACCAACCTCTCCACAAAGAAACATGATCACTTTACAGGAGCCTTGACTAATCGCTAACAACTACGTGGGTTAACTTCAAAGTAGACCTTGCAGCAGAAGCACGTCGCACTTTGCAGCGAATTCGGCGAAATCAGCCGTGGCCCACACAACAACATATGCAACATGCGTGTTGCGTCAACCCGCCGGGGGCAGGTGGGGTTGCAAGAGACGTGGTTTCGCAGGTGTACAAATTGCACGCGTTTTGCATGCTTCTTTTGTGGAACACCTGCTTTGGAGGGGGGGAACACCTTCTCTCAAGTTTGCGGCACTTGCCACGCATCCAAAATCAGGAGCGCGAGATGTTGCTTTGTTTGGGCATTCCTGCGTTTGAGGGTGCTCGTTGTTCGGGCTTGGTTTTTAGGGAAGCCACGCGGAAACCACATGTTTGGCGGGGTTCAGCTTTGCGACAACCCCCTCCCTGCTGGCGCGCTCCAGGCGAAGTCTGGACACTGGCACTGGACTTGGCGCGCGCCATTCCCGCGCCCAGCGAGATCAGCTGCTGCACGGCCAGCTGCTATGGTTTCTGGGGCCCGATGTTTTTTCCCTGGGGTTCTCAAGGCTATTTTTGGGAGGTCTCCCCTTTCCGTTTGAAATACCCACGAAATACAAAGAGGCTTGGGGATGTCACTTAAATCTGCAGTTCGGCGCAGGGAGCCAGGGATCTTTGGAACGCCCCCTCTGCAGAAAGCTGAAGCTTCTTATGGGTTCAGTTCCCGAAAGGGAGCTATTTTTGGGGGGTCCCCCTTTCTGTTTGCAAAACCCACAATACAGAGAGGCTTGGGGATTCGGCACAGCGGGCCCAAGGCTTGGCCCAGTTGTTCGGGATCTTGTCCTGTGCCTTGGAACAGGCGTGCTTTCTCTCGCGCGTTTACCGCAATGGCTAGCCACAACAAACACAGACGCACGCACGCACGCACTCGCACACACAGACATGTTCTAACGAGTTTGGTCGTTCTGGGGGTGTTGGTCGGTCAGGCTTGCAAATCGGCATGCTGCCGGCCCCGCCGAAAGCTTTGATTGAGAAGTTCAGCTCAAGACAAGTGGGGCCCCAACTTGGCAGACAGTTTACCTGGAAGTGAAGCCAACATAGCCAACTTGACTCGGAAACATGTCAATTTATTGATTTGGACTTGGTTGTTGCATGGGCCTTGCGCGCAGTGCACGGCGCAACGGTCAAGGAGTCAAATCCATTGAGGCTAACATGCGTGGCTTGAGCTCAGAGCAGTCATGTTCCGAAGCTCCCACCTCGCAGGCGCTTCCAAAGCAGCAAATGGCTTCCACGCCAAACCAGCACCAACCCACCAGCCCGTTGACGATGTGCTGGGCATGTGTTGAACCGCGGGACACCACGGCATACGCTCG